TTTTTATTGATAATAGTTGTTTTTACCCCTTTGCCTATTTTAATTAAATTAGGTAATTTAGATAGATTAATATAATTGATGGAAATTAACAGTTTAAATCCCATTCACAAAATTAAAACTCAAGTTGCTTCTGATAATCAGAGTTAATCTGGCAAAGCTAAAATATACATTAACTATTGTATAGTAAAAGTCTAAGAGGACGAAAACAGCATTAAAATCTAGAAATTTCACTTTAGAATCAGGATTTTCAGCTGGGCATTTACAGGAGGTGCCATTCAGTTCCTCACAATCCTTTCTTGACTCAGTTTCCTCAAGTGTGTTAGGTGTCTGGTTCCTATAAATGTTTGAATTTTTTGACTCCTGACCTAAATGGTAGTTCCTATTTTTAGTAATGTTTTAGGGACATACGCATGTTGAAAAAGAAAAGGGTCTGGGTTAGTGTTTAAAAGGAAGCAACTGAAGTTGTGTTTACTAAACAGTAGATATTAACTTTTTCTTTTATTAGTCCACCAGGAAACCCTCCCCGAAGAATGGGTCGAATCAATCATCTGCGTGGCCCCAGTCCTCCTCCAATGGCTGGTGGATGAGGAAGGTAACTTAAAATCTGAAATTATTTTGTAGGATTTTATTTACTTTTTATTTTTTAATTTAAGAGTCTCGCTTTGTTGCCCAGGCTAGAGTGAGTGCCGTGGCGTCAGCCTAGCTCACAGCAACCTCAAACTCCTGGGCTCGAGTGATCCTTCTGCCTCAGCCTCCCGGGTAGCTGGGACTACAGGCATGCGCCACCATGCCCGGCTAATTTTTTGTATATATATCAGTTGGCCAATTAATTTCTTTCTATTTATAGTAGAGACGGGGTCTCGCTCTTGCTCAGGCTGGTTTTGAACTCCTGACCTTGAGCAATCCGCCCGCCTCGGCCTCCCAAGAGCTAGGATTACAGGCGTGAGCCACAGCGCCCGGCCTAATTTAAAATTTTTTTGCCCACATAGAACTAGGAGGGTTTTGTTTTGAAAACACTTCTTTAGGAAAACAGAAGTTGCCCAACATGTATAATTATTCAGATATTATACTTTGGAAAAATACTTACTTCACCCTTGAAAAATTCATTGGCTTTCTTATCAAAATGTCTTTTGAAGGAGATTTTATAACATGTAATGTGTTGGGCTTTTCACAGAGATCCAAATTAATAACTAATAACCATTATAATGTTTTCTTTTAGGTAAATGTCTGCTCTAAGAAGCAGACAACAGGACGTGCACATTCATAGCAGAAGGAAACCATCAGGAAACGGAGGGCTGACCACGCTGGACCAGTAGATGAATGTGTACGTCTAAACAAGGATTGCTCTGTGTCTTCACAGATGAATGAGGTCATGCTGGGAATTCCCTCTGCAGGGAACTGGCCTGACTGACATGCGGTTCTATAAATGCACATGTTTGTCTCTATCTTTTTTGTATAGTTTATTAAAGTATTAATAGTTTTAATAAGTAAATATTTTTAGGTTGCAAAACTGACTCCTCATCTATTTTTTTTTTCTTGCCACTAAGGGCTCTGTTGAGGAATTGCCCAAAGCATGCGTGGCCCTCACTGGGACTCAGAGCCGAGGCCAGGTGGACATGGGGAGGGGTGACCGGCAGGGGACCAGGAAAGGAGGGGTGTCTGCTGTTTTCCCTGTTGACATTTAATTTGGGAATGAGATGCCAAGGGATGTGACTGCTGTGCTCAATGGTGGTGGCTGGAGTTCTCTGTGCAGAGGACAGACAAAAGCCCTGGGGATCATTGCCTAGACCCCCGCGCCCCAAGGCTCCTGCCCTCTCTGGCTGGGACACTCGGTTTCCCTCTGGGTGCGACCAAGGAGATGGGGAGGAGAGCCATTCCTCATCTTTATATAATTAAATCACAAACTCTGAATCTGAAGGAAAGAAAAGGCTGTGCATTCAGTACTATTTAATTTCTTTTTTTTTTTTTTTTTTTTGAGACCGAGTCTCACTCTGTTGTGGCGTCAGCCGAGCTCACAGCAAACTCCTGGGCTCAAGCAATTCTCCTGCCTCAGCCTCCTGAGTAGCTACTGGCATGTGCCACCATGCCTGGCTAATTTTTTCTATATATATTTTTAGTTGGCCAATTAATTTCTTTCTATTTATAGTAGAGGCGGGGTCTCGCTCTTGCTCAGGCTGAGTACTATTTAATTTCTCAAATAATGTTTATTGTTATTTTGTTCTCATTTATAAATAAATCACATTGTATTTATTTCAGTAGTATGCATAAATCTGTTCTCTAATTAATTTTTTATCTTTATCTTATGAATCTTTAATACATCATTTATGATCTACCAATTATAATTATCAGGGTATTTATAAAGCCATCAGCAACAAAACTGAACTACAAAATAAAGATTTGCTAGGTAGTCTTTAAAATTGTGGACTTCAATGCTATCTTGACGAATTTGAATTCTATGCCTTTAAGATACTGTCTATTGGCTTTAACCCTCATCTGAATACTGCTAACTTTCACATTTTGTCACTAGAGTAGAAGTTCTATGAGATTAGAGATTTTGTCTTCTTTACCCCAATCCTTTGAACAATGACTTCATGTAACAGGCACAGAAATACTTATTGGAAAAATGAATAATACAGATAATTCTACTTCTGTATTTAACAGGCTTTGAAACCAAAGTATTCAGGTGAAAGCTTTTTTATATCTATTTATCAGTATTTATTCAACTGTTTGTCAGAAAGTGGGGATGTAGTGCCGTGCCGTAAGACACTGGTGTCCAAAGATAAGGAAACAAGCAATTTTAACACAAGTTTTAGGGTAAGGATAACAGTTCCTTGGCCACTCAATTCTGTCAGACATTTTACACATTTTAAATTCTGACGGAGAAAGGTAGATAGATGATATTTGCATTATACAGATACCAGGGCTCAGTAAAGTTGAATGGCTTCCCTGATTATATGGACAGTGAATGGCACAGTCATTCTGTTAAACCTCCACCTTACTAGCTGGGGTGACCATAGTAGATTCTCAGTAGGTGGTGGCTTAGTGTTATTGGTGGCTTCTCTGAGCATGTGACCCATGATCCTCTTCTGTCTCCCAGGATTGCTGCTACAGGACTCATTCCTTAAGGCTTATTCTGGAGTTCTGGTTACATTTGACATTTAGCTGTCTCACTCTACACTTCAAGTAGACCACTGTAGTGCAGAACATAGCCTCTTGAGTAGCTCGTGTTCAGATCTTGCCTTTGTTATTCAATAGCTTATGCTCTTGACTGATGTCATTTTATTCCAGTTTACTCACCTGTAAAATGGGAATTAAATTCCTGCCTCAAAGGATTCTTTACTCAGTAGTACTTAACAAAAATATGATTATCAGGCACCTACCATGTGCTGAAGATCACAGTTGCAAGACAAAATCTCCCTTCCCATGAAGCTTACATTCTAGTGTGGGAGACAGTAAGTGAGCAGGCAAAATAATTACAGACTAATGCTTTGTTCATGCTTTAAAGGAAATAGAGTGATGAGAGGATAACTGGGGGAGGCTTGAGGTAACATGAGTTGAAATATACAGGGTGAGAATGAGTCAGCGGAGGGAAGGCAAAAGGCACAGCAAGTACAACAGCGGGGTGATGGGAAGGGCTTGACTTGTCTGAGAAAAAGCAAGTGTAGCTGGAAATGCCAAGGAGGAGAGTGGTGTGAGATGAAATTTGAAATGTATTAGGAACTAGAGTAAATACAGCTTTATAGACAGTGATTAGATTCTGTTCCTTGAGCTTAAAGGGAAACCGTGAGAGTTTAGAACGTGGCTATAACATCTAATTTGTGAAATAACTCATTGGAAATATTTTACTAAACAGAGTGTCGGGTACATAGTGTTGATTGTCTTAACTACTTCATCATATTTTAAAACAAAACTTGGGCGACTGTATGAAAACCAGATCATAGGGGATTACAAGACAAGGAAATCAAGTTAAGAGGCTCCAGGTGAGTTGATAATGGCTTGGACTAGATAGTGGCAGTAGGAATGAAGAAGTGGATGAATTCAAGATAGATTTTTTTTTTTGAGACAGAGTCTCACTCTGTTGTTTGGGCTGGAGTGCCGTGGTGTCAGCTTAGCTCACATCAACCTCAAACTCCTGGGCTCAACCAATCCTTCTGCCTCAGCCTCCCTAGTAACTGGAACTACAGGCATGCACTACCATGCCGGGCTAATTTTTTCTATATATTTTTAGTTGACTAATTAATTTCTATGTTTTTTTTTGTTTGTTTTTTTTTTAGTAGAGACGGGGATCTCATTCTTGCTCAGGCTGGTTTCGAACTCCTGACCTTGAATGATCCTCCCGCCTTGGCTTCCCAGAGTGCTAGGATTACAGGCATGAGCCACCACGCCTGGCCCAAGATAGATTTTTAAAGACTGCGGGATTTGCTGATGGGTTGGATGTAGACGCTATGGACGACTGAAGAATTAAAATGACATTTAGTGAGATAGTGAATTTGTGTGTGTGTGTGTGTGGTGTGTGTGGGGAGCTTTTCAAGAGTTCCATTTTAGACATAAATAAGTTTGCAGTTCCTTGACATCCAGATGGAGATACCAAATAAGCAGTTGGCTATTAGTCTGGATCTCAGAGAGAGGTCCAAACTGGAAATATATATTTGGGAGTCACCTTCATAGTTAAAGCCAGGAAATGGATTAAGCCTTCCAAGGAGTGCATGGAGAGACCTAGCCCTAGAGAACTCCAACATCAGAGGCTGGACCGAGCAATGAGGAAGAATGAGAAGAACTAAGAGCATGTATGGTGTCTGGGAAGTCAGGAAAAGAGACATCTGTGAGAACAAAATGAGACGTTGGTTATCAGCCGGCCCAGGGCTCTGTGTGTTGGTTGCTAGCTGGGTCTAAGCTCAGCAACGACTACCCAATCCACCATCCACAAGCTCCCGAGCTCAGGCAGCTCCGCTCTTCCGCTTTCCCGGAATCCTCGGGGGCGACTCCGCGGTGGCCATCTTGACTGTGGGCAGCCAGCCGTGCGCCTGCGCGGTGGCTCCACCTGGTTGTCGCAGCCGAGACACCGAGGTGAGAGGCTGGTGGGAGCCGGCGCCAAGATGACCCAGGCGGAGAAGGGAGACGCGGAGAATGGGAAAGAGAAGGGCGGGGAGAAGGAGAAGGAGCAGCGCGGCGTGAAGCGGCCCATCGTGCCCGCGCTGGTGCCGGAGTCGCTGCAGGAGGTGGGGCGCCGGGCACGGGTCTGGGTTGGGACCCCGCGCCTCGGCCTCGGTCCTCGCTTCCGGGCCGGGCGGCCGTCGGGCTGGGTCTGGCCCCTTCCTTGCAGGCCCCAGCCGCGGCGGGTGGTGCAGACGGGCGGTCTTTCCCCCGGGTCGGGTGCGCCGAGGCCGGCGAGGGAGCGCGGCAGGGCCCGGCGGGGTCTCCGCAGCGCCCAGCGGCCGCCGCCCGGAGGCTGGCTGTACGTGCTCGGCCCGGCTCGGAGCCCAGCTTCCGGCCATAAAGCGACGACGGTGATACCACCTACCTCCCAAGTGCTGAGAGGTTTAAACGGTCGCAGATAGAGTGTAGCACCAGGCTGGCTCAGAGGGAGCGTCAGCCTCTATTTGTTAAGGGATAGAGTTCGAAGTCCCAGGCTTTTTCCATTGTTAGGGAAATATCAGGTAATAGAAGTCATTTCAAGCTTAAAAGCAAGAAAAGGGAGACATTTGTCTAAATAGACTTTAAGAGCTTGTGTGTCAAAAACAACAAGATTAAGTCAAACTAGAAAAAATAATTTGCAGTAGGATGGCAGGTAAAGGCCTTTATACTTATACGCATGCCCCCCCCACGCCTTACTGATCAGTAAATCAGACATGAACATTCCCATAGGAAAACAGACAGAAGCAATGTACACTTCACAGAAGAAATAACGAGGTGTTGAATGCTCAGAATTTCACGTGGGACATCTCTGAGCCAGCTTCCTCACCCTCGATGGGTTAAGGACAATACCTCACTGGTAGGGCAGCTGTAAAGTGCATAGCACAGTGCTTGGCAGCGGGTGAGCTCCCAGTATGGTTATTACCGTTGCACAGGCCTGGTTTCTCCACCCATCTCATTAAGGGGGCAGGCAGACTGGCTGGTCTGTGAAGGCCTTGCCAGTTCCTACCTTCTAGGATTCTTCCAGGGTTGGGCATTGGGAAGGGAGAGCTCACAGTTGGGGAAGGAGCAGCAGAGCTCAGCATGGTGTGGAATGGGCTAGTGCAGAGGGTGGTATTGGGCACTCACGGTGGGTACTTCCTCCAGCACTGACAGGGACAGTTTCTTCAAAGGAAGTGGCATCTGTACCAAGACCTGAATATTGGGAGCTAGCTAGGGAGGGGGAAATCTCATGGAAGAAGAACAGTGTGGAAGAGGCTTGGGCCAAGCTGATGTGGTGTTGGAAGCACAGCTGGTATATCAGGATGTCTGGAGTTGAGGGTAGGACTGGAGATCTTAGCAGGAGCTGTATCACGAGGGTCATGTAAGCTGAAGAGTCTGGCTGCTTCTGAAGGCACTGGAGAACTTACTGCAGTAAGAGCTAATGTTCTTTCTGGTGGCAGGCTCTGAGCTACATGATTAACTCCTTTAATCCTCACAATAACCTTGAGGCAGGAAATTCATCCAGAGCAAGGAAGTGGCAGTCTGAATTTGCAGCTAGATCTGTGAATCCAGAGCCTGGACCTTTAACCTCTATAGCAACATTTCCTTCAGTCACATTTCAGTCAGCTGTACAACACCCTTTGGTTTTTCCAGATGCTATGTGGCAGCTGTACTGTTTGCTTAATAACTGTTTTGCTCAGTCTTACCTTAAGCAGTAATATCCAGAAAATGATGTGTGGTATATACAGGCTAGGTTTTTTTTCCTAATACATAAAATAAATAATATAATTATTAAAAAATATTTGTCCATACTTTGGGAAACCCCATTTACTCTCCTGGAGTTTCCTAATCAGTGTGCCATAGCCTGTGTGCCATTAGTGAGGTACAGGGATCCCTGAGGGCAAGTAGCCTCACCTGTTTACCCCAGTCTGTTGGACAGATCTTCTCTGCCACAGCACACAGAAGCTTGGGAAGTACTGCTCAACACCTTGCCACGTCAGAGTGATGCCGTCATCGTTCGATGCATACCTCCCAAGCTCCTGCATGCCATGTGCTGGCATAGAGTAGTGTACAAGACAGAAGTGGTTCTTTCTCACTGGAAGTTTATTGTCTGTTGCGAGGGCAGACAAATAATTATAAGAGTGATGAGTTATGACAAGAAGGAATGCTGTAAGATTGTATTGCAGGGGGGCCAGCAAACCTAGTCTGATGACACTTACCTTCAGACCTGAAAGGAGTAGTCAGATTTAGCAGGAAGAAGAAACACTGCAGGCAAAGGGAAGTGCGTATGGGAAGGCTCTGAAGTCAGTGAGTTAGAAATCAAGAGAAATCTGGATTGAGAGAATTAAAGAGACTGAAAAGGAAGTGGTACTAGAATGAGGCTGGAGAAGTAGACAGGGTCTTGATCTTGGAGTTTCTAGACTTCATCTTATTGGCAAGCACGGAAATGTTTCTAATGGAGACATGCTTAGAAGACACAAATTAGTTTGAGGGCAGGTAGAGTAGGTACTAAGGAGTCAGGCTGGAGTTGTGGTTCTCAGCAGAGGGATCTCTGTTCAGTCAGAGGCATTGTCAGAGTCCCTTTTCCCTACCGAAACTCTGGGCCCTTCAATAAGTTTGTGGTGAAGGTTCTCCCAAGTAATTGAGATTCTGCCCCTTTGAAAATTGTGGAGCTAGGCCGGGTGCAGTGACTCTCGCCTGTAATCCTAGCACTCTGGGAGGCTGAGGTGGGCAGATCGCTCAAGGTCAGGAATTGGAAACCAGCCTGAGCAAGAGCGAGACCCCTGTCTCTACTAAAAATAGAAAGAAATTAATTGGCCGACTAAAAATATATAGGAAAAATTAGCTGGGCATGGTGGCACATGCCTGTAGTCCCAGCTACTCAGGAGGCTGAAGCAGAAGGATTGCTTGAGCTCAGGAGTTTGAGGTTGCTATGAGCTAAGGTTTGTGCCACAGCACTCTAGCCTGGGCAACAGAGTGAGACTCAGTCTCCAAAAAAAAAAGCAAAAAAACTCCTGGGCTCAAACATTCCTCCTGCCTCAGTGTCCCCAGTAGCTGGGACTACAGGCACGTGCCATGATGCTTGGCTGATTTTTCTATTTGTAGTAGAGATGGGGTCTCACTCTTACTCAGGCTGGTCTCGAACTCCTGAGCTCAAGCGATCCTCCCATCCCAGTTTCCCAGAGTGCTAGGATTACAGGCATGAGCCACTGTACCCAGCCAAAACAAATATTTGTTGAGCTATGTACCATGAGTCAGATTAGGGAACACAGAAATACAAAATGAGTTTGTGTTCAGGTAGAGAGCAGTAATAGGATACCTCTCAAAAAACTCCCTTTACTGAATACCCTTAAGTCTGATAGTTATTATAGGAAACTAACTTCTTAGTTTAACTTGTACCTATATGTTATTTAATTTGTTATTTGCATATTTTTTACTAAGGTCACATGCCTATGTTTTATATTTACAGCAAATCCAGAGCAACTTCATTGTTGTCATACATCCAGGTTCAACAACTTTAAGGATTGGTCGAGCCACCGACACACTTCCTGCTGGCATTCCTCATGTCATTGCACGAAGACACAAACAACAAGGGCAGCCCCTATACAAGGACAATTGGCTCCTAAGGGAGGGACTAAATGTAAGTATGCAATGGAGGAGCTAGAGAGAAAGCCCAAGGTTATTTCCCCGGTAGGCTTAGACACTCAAATGTACTTAGGAGTCATGAATAAATATCTTCATAACTTTATGGTATTGTAAAATAATATCATTCAGGGTTACAAATACCATTTTTCATCAGAGCTAGTGATCTTAGATTGTAAAGAATTATTTATAACAAAAGTAAATCCATCAGGGTGAATTGGGTATTGATGAAGGTGATCTTTAATGAAGGTGATCTTAATGATCTTTAAGACGTAGAATTGTCACTTACAATAAAATGATATGTTGAGGTCTTTATTAACTGGCAGCCATCATACCTGTCCTGTTATTCTGTGTTAAAGAAAAAAATAAGTTTTAAATAAAAATGTAAGAATAATAAAAGTTTATAAAATTTTTGTTTTTTTTTTTTTTGAGACAGGAGTCTTCGCATTTGGTTGCCAGGCTAGAGGATGCGCTGCGTCAGCGCTAGCTCCAGCAACCTCAAACTCCTGGGCTCGAGTGATCCTTCTTGCGCTCAGCCTCCGGGTAGCTGGGGACTACAGGCATCGCGCACCATGCCCGCTAATTTTTATATATATAGTACGTTGGCCAATTAATTTCTTTCTATTTATAGTAGAGACGGGGTCTCGCTCTTGCTCAGGCTGGTTTCGAACTCCTGACCTTGAGCAATCCGCCCGCCTCGGCCTCCCAAGAGCTAGGATTACAGGCGTGAGCCACAGCGCCCGGCCAGTTATAAATTTTAATTTTAAATTTATATTAAAAAAAAACTGGCAGCTATATCTTCTCTTCCAGATACTTATGGTTTCAATCAAATTCATGTTTTAAATCTATTAGTAAATGGAATTGCTACAATAAGCACTTGCTACAATCTTAGGTCAAAACACAATTTTAAGGCAAAAAAATATATTTCCTTATAGTAAACATTTACTTTACCCTGTTTTATAGATGGTAATTAACAGGAAAATTTTTAGTGATAGGTGTTAAATCTCTATATTGCATCATAATCCACTTTTTTTTTTGAGACAGAGTCTCGCTTGTTGCCCAGGCTAGAGTGAGTGCCGTGGCGTCAGCCTAGCTCACAGCAACCTCAAACTCCTGGGCTCAAGCAATCCTTCTGCCTCAGCCTCCCGAGTAGCTGGGACTACAGGCATGCGCCACCATGCCCGGCTAATTTTATATATATTATACATTAGTTGGCCAATTAATTTCTTTCTATTTATAGTAGAGATGGGTCTTGCTCTTGCTCAGGCTGGTTTCGAACTCCTGACCTCGAGCAATCCGCCCGCCTCAGCCTCCCAGAGTGCTAGGATTACAGGCGTGAGCCACCGCGCCCGGCTCATAATCCACTTTAACTTTCAACTTTTAACTCAAGGATAGTTTCAGGAACTTAAGTTTTTGTAATTCTGATAGTAAACCTTAAGTTTCCATTTTTTAGCACAACTAGCAGACTAATTAAGTCCATTTGTAAGCTTAAATATAACTTGCCCATATAAGAGTCTATAATTCATTATATGTCTTTGGATCATAACATTCTACTTTAGGGAATAATTTTAAGGAATATAGATCAAAGAAAACAATAACATTTCAAAGATATTTATGAATGTTTTCTTTATAATATCACAATAACTCAAATAATCAAAATAAAACATATGTGACATTGTTACAAAATTGTAGACATGAGAATTATATAGATGTATGGAAGAGTTTCTGAAATATTTATTAAGTATTTATATACTTTACAAATATAAAGTATGCTTTGATTAGTGTTGTGAAAAGTTTACCAAATTTTTCAATCACTTGAGGTTATATATTTTTGTAAATGGTTTATGGTGAGGATTCCTTTTTGACTTATTTATAATAAAATTACTTGGACTTCTTAAGATTAATACATATAACAAATATTAAGAAAGTGCTATTTGTTGATGAGGAAGCGTTTCTATATGGGTTAAATTAGTATTAATAGTTTGCCAGATTGCTTTTCTTCCCTAAATCCTTTTTACTGCTCATCTTTTTCTCTCCAGAAACCTGAAAGTAATGAACAAAGACAAAATGCCTTAAAATGGTGGATCAAGCAATATGGTCTAAAAAGATGTCAAATGGTACAAGACGGATTCCTGTGTCCCCCTGAACAGGTTCAGTCACTCTTCAGATTTATTCTTCTACTACCACTGTTATACATGTCATTCACATGTTCTCCTTATATCAAATATGCAATATGAAATAAGATGAGATTTCCTTAAAAAGGAAGATAAACCCTTCCTGACTATTTATGAATATCTGAATCATAAATGCTTAAGCAGGCCAAATAATTTATAAGGGTGGTATTTCTTAAGGCAAATTGATGTAAATTACACTGTACCCTGAGAGTGTATAATTTCAGGATCTTGATGGGAAGCTATTTTTACTGCATTCTTCAGTTTAATGTGTTTAACCAATAGTATTAGAAATGGACATGAGTCTGGATTGTATATAAATTTGTGTTCAACTTCAGGCAGAGTATAGTGTTAATTTTGAACTGGCTGTGAATCATAGCCTAGGGGTTAAAATTATGGAAACAAGATTGTGGAATTGTATCTGGTCTGGAAGAGAGAAGAGAAAAGGAGAACTTAATACTTACTGCCCCCCTTCCTTGTATAAATTCAGATAATTTTTGATGATCTTTCTTTTCAGGCACGCTCCTACAATAAGCAGATGCGACCTGCAATTTTAGATCACTGTTCAGGAAATAAGTGGACAAACACATCTCATCACCTGAGTATTTGGTAGGAGAAGAGGTAGGAATTTTCTTTACAATAATGAATGGAAGAAGAAAAACCTGATCCTCCTAAAATTCACTCACCACTCAGTTCTAGTTGTTCCTAGCATTCCATAACCCTATTTGAGGATCAGATATCCACATTGACTTCTGAAAGTTAGATACCTCACTCTCAGGCATTTGAACAGTCAGCTAATGTTAATGATAATTTCGGCCTAGGTTTTTTGGATATGAATCCAGAAAACCCTGAGAAGAGTTTTTAACAATCCCCTCATCCTCCCTTCCCTCCTTTCCAGGCCTTGTATGTTAATCCATGGACTGTTATAATATTCACTGGCCTATCAGGAGAGGCCAGTTAAACATTCACGTCAGGCCCGGGGGCTCCCTTCACAGCTGTTCTGGCAGATATGAAGTAATATGGTCTCATGCAATACAAAAATACTGGAAATCCCACTGAAAGATTTAAAGGTAAGCTAAAATTCTTAGTTATTTGGATTGCTTTAAGATTCTTGGTCAATAAAAGTACACATTACTGAGTCATTTGTAATATAGTATCTTCTTGAATCATTCTTTAGCTCTAGGAGGATATCTTTTCTTCTTGACGTTAATTCTTCTCTGGTGCTTTCTCTTTTTCTTACTGTTTCATTGTGTCCTCTCTACCTGCTCTAAAATTGCTAAACTTGCTTATGTTTATGCTTCTTTCTGACCTACTCAAATATCCATTGTTTTATTTTTCCTTTCACAAGTTTTAAATGATTCCAAGGGGGGGGGAAGTTAGCATTTTCTGTTTATTCATATAACTCAAAGGATAGCACAGAGGTTTGAGCTATTACTCTCGGTCTTTACCCACAGGTGCTACTCCTTTGGAGGGAATCCTTTCTAGTGACAAGTATGGTGAAATTTGACTTGAGTGTTAACCTTTTTCTTTTTTTCTTGTTTTTAGTATTATAGATGTATCTTGCTAATTCCTGACATCTATAATAAACAGCATGTGAAAGAACTAGTGAATATGATACTAATGAAGATGGGTTTTTCAGGTATGTTTGATTTCCAGTGAAACCTGCTTTAAATGAATTTCTTTCTTCCTTTTCAATGACAAAGTTCATCTAATTCACTGATTTTATTTAAATGGTTGTCCTGAAAGGATCAGCATTCTTGCTAAGACTCTTGCCAGTGGCTTCCAGGCTCCTGACTTTAGCTGATTATTTGTTTTAGGATCTTTATGCTGTGCGATTACTTGTCTGCGTTTTTTTTTCTTCAGGAATCGTGTCCCATCAGGAGTCTGTGTGTGGCCACCTTTGAAGTGGCTTAAGCAGCACTTGTGTTGTAAGATGTTGGGGATCAGAAAACAAGTCTCTGTGGTGGAAGATGGAGTGTCTCATCGGAACACTCGGTAAGGAACGTGGGAGCTGGCACTCCCCCGTCCTCTCCCTCACAGTCTTTTCAACTGTAAATCATCACAAGTTAGAAATCGTAAGGAATTGTGTATTCAAAAGTCTCGTGGGAAACCAGCAAGATTGTGGAAAATGCAATTGTAGCCAGGATAAAACAAACAATTTTACCCTTCCTATTGGAATTTTTTAATAGGAATTCACATCAGCAGCTCCTGAAAATCCTGGTATTGTGTGTGGTGGTTTAGAAAACATTAGCTCATATCTTTTGCTGTGGTTGGCATAGAGATACTGATCACACCCTCACAGCAAAGCTTTAGTAGGGTGAGTCATGTGGAAGAAATAGGTTTTGTTCAGGTCTGACTTCTCTAGCTAGCTAAATATCTGCCTTTCTCATTGTAACCGGTGCTGAGGAGTGCGAGCAGATTTGCTGCTTGTCTTCCTGGGCAAGCCTGACACAAGTAACATACTCAGGTAGTGCCACTATAGTTTCTTTGCAGCATTTTGTGCTTTTGATAAGGCTTCTTCCTGCTCTTGAGGATGCTTTAATTTTTCCTGTCCCCACATCAGGTAGTTTTGAATCTCAAGGTATAGAAACAAAATTTCAAAGAGGACCCAAACGGTCTGTGAAAAGTTATTCTGCTACCTCCCACCCTGAGTCACAATGCATTCTAAACTCAGTATGAGTTATTTTGGCTCGTCATTGTTTGAATTATTTAATGTCTATTATACTCAAAGTGTGAGAAAATGCTAGACCAGGATTCCTACTGCTAAAGTAATAACAGCAGTGGTCTTCCAAATTGTAGAAACTTTCAGTTAGTGATAGTTTTCTCT